GTAAAAAACATATAGTCCCATCTTTGGTCTGACTACTTACCTTCAATTGAGCGGGGTTCTTGTCACTGGGAAGAAATTCCTGGGGAGGCATATGGATGCACAACTAGTATGAATATTCCCATTAAGGTTTTCAATTCTTAGTTCATCACCATTCGCTTCATTTCTTTCCCTCCTTCACTTACACTAATTTAAAGCACCATTTTATAACATTTATGTAATTGCCTCTGTGGGCAAATTATAATTAAAATGCCAGAGATTCACATCTCATCTGTTAAAACTTAGAAATCTATTCATTTCAAAAAGCTCCTCAAAACAAAATGTTGACTGATGCTTTGCAGGCTGTTGTTTACTGTACCAAGTAGCCTACACTTAAAATGTTAACACTATATTTATTATCTAAAAGTGACCCAAAAGGTACCGGCAATGACTAGAGCAACATCTTAGTTTTCTTTGATAGGAAGAAGCACCCTTATTTCTCAGACTAAGAAAATAATAATTAAAAAATCTATGACAAAGAAACAAAAACCCAAGAGTTACATGTTGTAATCTCTGGAGATGGGTAACAGAAAGGTAACTCTATATTTGATTCTTCTGTTTAATGATCTCCATTTTCTGACTTAAAGCATAAAGTAGCAAGAGTGCGACCGATTCCAAACAACTTGGAATTTTATTGTAAACATCCCATAAAGAATGGCAACAAATTAGTCCAACTATTTTTGTTGAAGATAATTGCTTATAAGGACTGACAACTGCCAAACAAAACATCTTTCATAAATTGAGCCAGTTTAGTTTACCTTTCTTTACTGAATTTTAGTTTAATGGACATTTTGCCCATATACAACATTACATCAACTTTTAACTGAATATTTTCCATCTTAAAATATATGGACACTAAGAACAAACATAAGGTACAGTTTTGTTAATACTGTGTAAGGGGTTACAAAAGACAAGGATGATAAATTACAGGACAAAGAAATAAATTACTGATTGCCATCACCACAGTATTGTTTAAAGAATTAACATTTATAGTACTGCCTAATGTGTATCTGATGACATATGTAAAAACACATTTCCCAACTGGGTTTCTAAATATTTTTGTATGTGATTTTAAAAACTCAGTAACCAATGGCAATTTTAATAGGTATCAATAGTTTTAATTTTTAGAAAATACTTATCATGCTTTCATAAGTCAAAGTCTCATATTCTAGATTTAATTAAGACAAGTATATGAATAACAAATGGGCATACATATAAACAAATATACCTTAACTCTAAACTGCAGGGCTGTTCTACTGTACTTCTCCCATCAATGAATCATAAATTGCCAGTCTTGAAGTGTGTTAAATTAGATGCAGTCTTCATTGCAGAAAGAGAAGAGAAAATAAAAGTAGGCAGGAGAGGAATGATGGAAAAGAAATTAATCAAGGATAAACTAGATAAGAAGTAAATGTCAAGAAACTTGAGGGAAAATCATATTCCATAAAATACAGCACCATGAAAAATTAACATAGAATTCAATCAAAACTTGGTAGTTGAAATTTGATAAAGAAACTTTACTGAGGTGAAAAGCATGAAAATATTTTCACACTAATTTTTAAAACAAGCCTTAAAAGTGATCTTAGAATATTTTATTTTCAATAAAAATTCCATAAAGTCTCATGTACCACAAAAATGTTGGGCATGTAGTTAACATTTAAAACAATGAGCTTTAATGTCAAAAGTTCTGCCCCTGCCCCCAGAACCAAACTATTCATTTTGGAACTCAAAATGTTGGTAATTGTTTTAAAAAGATGGATATCAAAGTATACTGAAAATTATACAGGATGTTAAAGCATCTTCGTAGATGTGATAATTCCAACTTTAAGATAAGTACCAGTTGGTAAATGTGCATAAAATAATTCCCGAAATATATAAATGAGTAATAAGGTGTTTATCACCACCACAAACATACAAATTTTGAAAAATAGTCAAAAAGTTTCTATCAAAAAGTTAGAAGTAGCATTCACATCTTTCACTTTCAATCACTCTGTTATCTACAGAATTACAACAAAAAAGACAAATCACTCAAATTTACTTCAAAGTACTGGAAAGCTGAGTTAGACACTTGAGCACATGGTTGTGCAGAATATTATGAATTTTACTGTTTCTTAGCCTCTGGGAGAAACGATGCATGGGAAAATTCTAGCACAATACTGTTCTCCAGGAAAGGAAAAGAAACAGGCAATTTAATCAAAAAGAAGAGATAAGACATAACCTAGACTGTTTATCTAGAAGGCATAATGAGTAGAATGATCAAGTCATATATATATAAAATATATATATATATGTATATATATACACATATACACACACACATATACACATACACACACACACACACACACATATACAGGCCAAGCGTTTTACAACAGAGGCAAAGAGCTGGTAGACAGTGAAATATAGTTCTCCACACACAAAAATAGTTTTTAAATGTCTGAGATAAAGTCTGTCAAGTTGGGGAAAAAAACTACACACACACACACACACACAGAGTCATTAGGCTAATAGGCTAGTGAATGTTTTGGAGAGCATCCTATTGCTTGAAGTCAAGATACAAATAGCAAGCCATAGAAGAAACACTTTCATAAATATATACACATGCCAAGGTCTTAAATTGGGAATTAAAACATCATTAGCATTGATGAGAAATACTACAGCTCACTAACTATTAATATCTAGCTTGGAATTAGGCATATACATGTGTATGCTCTCTTGGGCCTAAATGCAAGTGTAGCAATCATTTAAGATTTAGACTTCAAAATTTTTAGCTCACTTACTACTTGCTTTGCTGTGACTGAGCCTGGATCTAATTTCAGTTTAAAGGGCTTCTAAAAAATTAAAGTGGTAAAATATTCAATGTGATAAAAATTACAACACATTCACTGGAGGCAGTGTTACAAAAAAAAAAAAAAAGAAGGCAAAGTATAAATTGGGGGGTGTGGGGCAGTGAGATATAAAAGTAAAAATTCTATCTTCCAAACTTTTTTCCGCACTTACTAAAATAATTTGCATGCAAACAGAAAGTGATCTGTTTGTTTCGTAATAAATGGTAACTCTGCTAATCTAACAATCTGGTAACTTAACTCTTTAAATCTTAATAACTGAAATCAACATCATGGCAAAATGCTGTTCACTAATATTTTCACAGTATTTCACTACATATAAAATATGCTTAAAATGTCTTTAGCTTTATTATTCTAATTATCTAAACTGAGAAAATCTTGACATTTGGGGAATAAAGGTGTCATTTTTTTCAAAATAAATTATAAATAAAGCTTGACATAGCTAAAATCACACAAATGGCAATTCTACATTTCAAGGGGTCAGCTCTTCATAAAAAATTTTCAACAGAAAACTTCACCCTAAAAAAATACACATGATACGTACACATTTGGGTATATCCATGATTTTGAGTAACTAAATCACTTTGATTAGAGTAAACCAAAGATTATTGATTCCAGAAAAAACACAGGCACAAATTTTGTCTAAGTGACCAAGAGATAGATAACTGAAATAGTATTGTTTTAGCAAAATCAAATGTAAAGTATCAAATATGAATGATTTTTAATCTGTTAGGGTTAAAAGTGGCAGCTGAATTACAGCCAGAAGTAGTTTTGCTTTCATGAAAAAGACTACAAACAAACAAAAAAGAAAATAAGCATGATCTACTGTCCAATAACAGAAGTTAGTGCCATTATCAGCTCATAGCAATAATTTCTTAGTCTGAACGCATTTCTATTGCCAAATAAAAACTGCTTATAGATGTGAATCCAAGAATAACCCCTACCCGACCCAACCAAATAAGCAAAAGTTATGCAAATACTCCATCTCCTGTGCTTAAGGATTTTCAGATGCATGAAATGATGGAAAGCTTAACACATTAGCTTAAGAAATATCAGGATTAGTAGGCATACATTAATAAGTTTCTTTATCCCACAAATCTGATCTAAGTGCAACACAACTGCTGTTATAAGAAAAAAAAAGATCAATATTATATTCCTCCTCAGCTCAAAAATTTAAGTAACAAATTAGCAATGCTCAAATTTAAGGAATAAAACTGATCTTGAAACTCAAGATCATTTATAGGACCACATGTACTCTATTGCTGTAAACAAACCGTAAATGTTTTAAAGACTCTTCCATCTATAGAATGACTGAAAATATCCGTGTGCAGTGCAGCGAGGCTCTTTTCCGAAAGACCCTAACAGAAGAACCCTTTGGAATGGTATGAATAGAACCTATTATAGTTGATTCAAAATATTAGCTACTCAAACATTCCAACTCTAACTAGGTACTTTGTAACATTTTAATATTCAAATGAAAACCAGTCCCTTACAGATGTTAAATAGTAAGTGGTAGCAGAGATATAGTAGCCCAAGTTTACTTAAAAATATAAGAAATGCGTAAGGTAGAGCATACTATACTTATGAAAGTTTGTTAATTACAATGATTAAGTTGAGAGCTAATATGATTATTAACAACCTCTCAGCTTATAATTTAAGGGTACTCATTCCTACCAAGCTTGTTCTATTTCTCCTTAGAAATGAATAACAGCATCTATTTTACTCAATATTTCCAGTAGTTGTATGTAGTTTAATAGAGGTAGCTGAGCTACTATTTAGAGAAGCTATTCTTTGTGGATGACGTTTTTTCAAATGTTTAAATTATTTTTAAGCTACACAAGTTCTATTAATATAATAAAATATAATAGGAAAAGAAAATGGATGCAAGAAACTTTTGCATTTGGCACCTTGTCTAGATCGATACCTCAAGTATTCTTTTTTAATAAAGTTAATGCATACATCAGGACACACCACAAAGTTTTGCTACATATTTACAAGGCACCAACCCTTTCTCACCTTTAACATGAATTAAGCAAATCAATGAAAAGCATATCAAGGACCCCCCCACCCCCCAAAAAAAACTGTAGTATAAATATATACTTCAGTTTAGTACATCTCATGAAAGTTTGGCCTGGGTAGAGTAAAATAATCCAGATCGTTCTTACAATATAGAAACTGTAAACATTTAATAGCTGCCTTTAGGATTGGTGTATTGTGCAAAAGTTATTATTACTGGGTACAGGAATCAAAATGGCAAAAACAAACTATATAAAACTCTATAAGAAGGTGCTATACTTCTGTGATACAAAAGCAAAAGAGGGATATTCCATTGAGATAAAAATGTCATGCTACTCTTAAGAAGCTGAATAATGCTCCTTTAACGTAGTAAATCTGTAGTGTGTCTGTGATACGTGTGTGTGTGTGTGTGTGTATGTATGTGTGGGCAATTTTTTCTTTAAATTTAAGGCCTAATGAGTAAGGCTTGTTTGAACAAATGAAGTGTGGAGGTCAAAAGTCTTGAAATAAATGTATACTGGCATAATGGAAAAGCACCAATGTGAAAGGAAGCAGAAGTCCCCACACAACTTGCTTTGTAGATTTCCTGGTAAATTCCCTGCAGTAGAAGGCCATTGAAATTTTTAAATTATTCTAAATTTATTAACTGTTAATAATTCCATCCCATGAGATGGCTAACCCTGGCTTTTTCTGTCATTTTGCGCACTCTGCCTGATCTGGATGTACCAAGATTCAGAGGATCTTCAGTGGACACAAAGTTGTCATTATCAGAATCATCATTATATAAAACAGTCCTTCTGCCTTGGTTTCTTGTTTTAATTCGAGGCAGTCTACTAAATCGTCCTGAAAACATAGTATCAAATTCATCATCTGCAAGGCGTGCACGCTTGGCTCTGCTGGCTCCTCTAGAAGCTCCTCTTCCTCCTCTCCCTCTCCCTCTCCCCCTAGTCCCACCTCCACCTCTTCCTCGACCCCCACGGCCCCTGCCTCCTCTTCCTCTGCCTCCCCTACTCCACCTGCCCCATCTACCCCATCTTCCCCTTCCCCCTGTGCCTCTCATCTTCCAGTTTCTTTTTCCATTGGCATGTTGTTTTCTTAGTTTTCTTTTAGGCCTGGTTTGTATGAATTTGCTATAGTCATGGTCTCCATCTACATAATCTTGATCTGTTCTGGAAGTTGATTCAGAGTCAGAATCAGAACCACAAGTACTTTCAGAACTTAAACTTGATCCTAACTCTCCACTCTCTGAGGAAGATGAATGTGATTTCTCTTTTGTTTCTTTTTTCTCTTTCTCTTCTCTTCCCATGCTTTCATCTTCTTCTGATGCACTAAGAAGTTTTCTCTTGATTCCTGTCCGGGGCTCTCTGCCATCACCATTTGTAAGGGGTCCATCAAGGGAGTGATCTAAATCAAGATAAATAATTTTTTTAATTAAGCTTTGATATTGACAAAATGGTTTTAGGTTTAAAAGCAAAATGAACAGTCTATCACAAAAAAAAAACCTGGCACTCAAACATGGGATAAAATCATGGAGGGTATTGGAGTGTGAATCTAAATCTGTTGGATGTGGAAGATACTCAAGTTGATTCTTGTTTATTTTTCTCTGGACAAGGGGGTGCAGAGAGGAAGGCATGGTGGTGAGAGAATGGGTAGTGAGGTAGCTGGGCAGATATTTATGGGCAGAACTTTAAGAAGAATTATCTAGGAATATGTATCAGAATAATTTCATTAATTTATTCAACAAATACTTTCTCATTATCTATTATGAGTTAAGCATTGCTTGGGGTTTTGAATATGGCAATAAATAAGACAAAATTCTTGCTCTTTGAATTTATATTTCAGTGGATAAAAGTTGACATAATAAAGTGAACAAATAAATGATCAAATATTAATGATATGTACTATAAAGAAAAAGAAAGAGGTCCAGGAAAATGTGATGTATATATGGGGCTATTTTAGATAGGAAATACTTTTTTTTTCCCAAAGCTCTACCTTTATTTATGCATATAAAAACTGAGGTATAGGCCAGAGGTGTGGGAGTTGGAGAGTGGGAGGATTCACCAGAGACAGAGTGGAGTAGGACAGGCAGATCTACAGAAATACACTGTGGAGGGGAGCAGTGGGCTAGACAAGAGAGGTCTGTTGCGCCATGTAGGCCAGCTCCTTGGCTAGGGATCAAACCCTTGCTGCAGTGGCTGGCAATAACCCAACATTGCTGAGACTCAACCCCTACTCTACCAGGGAAGCGCCAGGGAAGATTTTTTTATGGCAGTGGTATTTGACAAAAGAATCTAATAAGTGAAATCTGGAGAGAGAACATTCCAGAAGAAATATAAATCCAGTGTTACTGAAGTGGAAAAGAAAAACAGAGTAGTAGGCTATGACGGCCAATGGAAAGGTGTCAAGCTGGGGAATGACATTTGATTTACATGTTTTAAAGAACACTATTGTTACTGTAGAAAGAACAGATTATAAAGGAGGCAAGATTGGAAGCAGAAGCCATTTGGAAGGCCACTGGAATACATGACATAAGACATGATAAGGAAGATACCAATAGTGGTTATGAGAAGTGATCAAATTCAGAATATTTCCTTCTAAAGATGTCACCAGAATCAACCTTTGTTATTAAAGTTTGAACTGACAGGAACTGCTGAATGGATTAGATGTCAAGTGTTAAACACAGAATGAAGGGCAACTTCTAGGTTTTATGATCTGAGCAAAAGGATAATAGAAATATTTTGTTAATTTGGACAACACTGAAGGAATAACAGATTTGGACAGGGTGGTAAAAAAGTGAAGATTTCATGTTAATACATTAAAAAAGTAAAAAGAAAAATTCAGGTGGATATACCATTCTAGTGCTATGGGAGAGTTAGATATAGCTAGAGATATAATGTTGGAAATTATCAGTAAGGAGAAGATATTTAGTTCAAGAAAACTAAGAGCTTGTTAAGACAACAAGAGAGAAAAAGTGGCTAAGGACTAATATCTGGAATATTCTAACATTTCAAAATACTGAAGAACCAGAAGATTGCTGAGAAGAAATAGCTAGTGAGGTAAGATGAAAACAGGGGAGTGGACTAGAAAGATTGTTGGTAGCAATGTCTAAGGCTATCCAGTAAACACTGTTAGAAGGTTAGTCTAATAGTCTAGGTGTTATGTAGTAAATTATGTCCACTTCTCCTAATACATATGTGGAAGGCCTAATTCCCAATGTGACTATATTTGGAGAAAGGGTTTTTAAAGCAGCAATTAAAGTATATGATCATAAGAGGTAGGCCTTAATATACTAAATGATATCTTTATAAGAAAAGGAAGATAGACATCAGTGAATATTTTCTCTCCCCATCTGTGACAAGAAAAACTAAAGTGAGGGCAAAGAAGGAGACAGCTATTTGCAAGCCTGGAAGAGAACTCTCACCAGACACTGACCATGCTAGCATGTGGTCTTTGAGATTTAGAACTGTGAGAATATACATGCCAGTTTAAAGTATACAAAGAGGAACTTGACATCTTTAATCATCAAAGAAATGCAAATCAAAATCACAATCAGATATCACCTCACACATTAGAAAGGCTAGTATCAAAAAGATAAAGGATAACAAGTGTCCATGAGCATGGAGAAAAGGAAATCCTTCTACATTGTTGGGAAGAATATAGTCTAGCCATTATGGAAATCAGAATGGAGAGTCCTCAAAAAATTAAACTGAAACAACCATTTGTGGTCCTCCGTGGTGGTTCAACAAGTTAAAGCACAGCACAATGAAGCTATCCTCAGCCACTGCAGCATGAGTTCGATCCTCAGCCAGGGAGGTGGCCCACATGGCATGGCGGATCTCTCCAGTCACGCCCGTTGCTACCCTAGGTGCTGTATTTCAGTAGATCTGCCTGCCTGTTCTGCTCCCCACTCCATCTCTGGTGAATTCTCTCATCCCCCACACCTCTGGCCTATATTCTGGCCTATATTCTTAAAATAATAAAAAGAAGCATTTTATCCAGCAATCCTACTTCTGGATTTATATCCAAAGGAATTCAAATCAGGGTTGTAAAGAGATATCTGTATGTCTGGGTTCACTGTAACATTATTCACAAGAGCCAAAAATCTTGGTATATATACACATACATATCCTATACCATGGAGTATTACTGAGCTTTAAAAAACAAGTAAACCTGGTCATTTGTGACAGCATGAATGGAGCTGGAAGAAATTATACAAAGCAAAATAAGCAAGCTACAAAGAGAAATAATACATGATGTCACTTATATCTAAAATCATCATACTCATAAAAATATAGATTAAGTTGGTGGCTATCAGGGACTGGGAAGAGGGGAAATGGGGAGGTTTTGGTCAAATAGTACAAAGAATAAGTTATGCAGGATAAATAAATTCTGGATAGCTAATGCACAAGTTGACTATAGTTAACATACTGCATTATATACTTGAAATGTGCTAGAATAAATCTTAATTTTTTTCCAACACACAGTAACTATGTAGATATGTTAATTAGTTTGATTATGGTGATCATTTCACAGTGTATACATATATTGAAATATCAAGTTGTATACGATATACAACTTGCTCTTTAAACCACCTCATCTGTGGAATCTTGCTGTAATAAGCTAATATACTGGGATAGAGAATAAGGGGATAGCAATAGAAACTATGGATTAGAAATTTAAATGATATAAAGGCATTGCAAATTCACAAAATCTAGCAACCAACAGGATATGAAGGGTAGAAAGAAAGTCAAAGAACAATGCAAGATCTTATATTGGGTGACTACGAAGACGGCAGGTGGTGTCATTAATTAAAACAATGAGTTTAGAACAAGAAAAAAGTCTTGAGACAGAAAGATAAATAACACTCAAAGGAAAACTTTTTAGAAAGCAATTGAAAATGAGGCTGCTAGAATAAAGAGATTTTAAGAACAGATATATGAAACTTGAAAGTCATCAGCATGACTGGTATAACTGATCGTATTCTTCCCTCTTCCCCTCCAAAAAAAAAAAAAAAAAAAAAAATCACACCCAAAACTGAAAAGCCACAAACTAGTAGGAACCTGCAAGTAGGGACAAAGAGTCGAAAAAGATACAGGAGAACCATTAAATAAACCAAGCAGGATGCAGGCATACAGAGAGATCAAGGAGAGAGGCACTGAGAAAGGACACTGTTTGGTCATTGAAGATAACAGGTAATTCTGGGGAAACAGCTTTTGGAGAATGGTGGGGACAGAAACCAGAGGATTTACAAAAGATGAAAGAATGCTTGATGAGAGAAAATAGAAAGTGTACGCTATTCTTTATAAATGATAAAGGGAAGGGTAAAAAGAGGAGGAACTAGCACAAGTATGTAAGATATAGCAGGATGAAAGGAATCAAGATACAAATTGAGAAAATTAAAGACAGGAATTATTTTAAAATAATCAAATATATTTCAATTTATGTCACACAAACAATATAAAATATATCTTTAAAATCTATTTTTAGGTTAGTCGATATTTAATGCTTCAATAATGCTTCTTTCATTAAAAATTTATATAAAATAAAATATATATTTGCATAGAGATATTTGTAAAAGCTTATTTTTATTTATTCCTAAGAAATTTCAAAACAGAATAACCTATTGAAACTTTCTTTGCATATATTCAAGGTATATAAGTACAAGAAGAAAAATTTGAATATCAACTATAACCTTCAAATATTTATAAATGATGCCCCATGTAATGGTCCAAAATAGATACACAGATAATGAATTATTAGGTTAGTTATATCTTTTTAAGCAGTGGAAATTTTTCTTCAAAAAAAAAAAAAAAGGTACATGGAAGCTCATGAAATAAAAACAAGAGCTGTTCTGGTTGAATAGCGATGGTTCTTCTAAGAATTCTTGGAGTACCTCTGTGGATTACCCAGAAATAGGCAGAGGCCACTCTGCAAATCACTGAATTAGTGAGACAACAGGCTCTGAGGGAAGAGAATGTCTGATTTATATAAATGGAAAACAAAAGAGGGTAGCTTAAATGTGTGTTGACTGAAAAAAAAAAAGATTATTTCTCACCCTTTTTTAATTGGGGTGGCCATGAAAAAGATATTTTTTGCATTGTCCCCATTTCTAATTAATATGGCTTAATAATGTTTCTAACTTTCTGATATTTATGTGCTTGGGGAAAGATCTCTTAGATTTCTTCCCTATTCATTTTACATTTTACTTAGAAAGACTAAAATATGCTATAAAATAACTACTGGGAATGTGCTAAGTAAGTGCCTTTTCTAGCTGTGGATATGAAACCTTATCTGACTCAATTTTGACAATATTAAAATCCTCATTAAATAAAGTGACATGCTAATTTGAACGACCTAAATGCATCAGTTTTTAAACAATTTGTCTGCCATCCTGAGGAAACAAAGAATAAATGCCCTGTCCATATTTATTTCCTACCTTGCTTAATTGGCAAAACTCTATTCCGAAATGATTTGGCTTTCCCTGGGTCGTGGCTATTTCCACTTCGGCTATATCCACTGAAGCTTGATGAAGAAAATGGCCCATCTACTTCATCATCAAGTAGATATAGTGAAAGCCCTTCAGCAGCATCTGAAACTTTTATTTAAAAAGACTATAATGTTAACATAGTTATGTTTTCAGGAAATTTAAATGAGCTATTTCAGAAATGATATCATGCTTAGCTATTTTACTCTAACATCAAAATGAAAACTGCTTTGAAGAAGAAAATATGAATATTTTGAGAACAAATGGTTCATTACATTTTGAGCTTTTAAGTAGAGAATTTCAGAAAAAGCGGCCTGAGGAATCTGCTTCCATAAATAATGATTTCTCAATTCTTATGTTGGCAAATATATTCCAGATGAGTATTTTGATGACACAAATTAAAAATCATAAAGCCACAGAGTTTTATAACTATGAGCCTTTATAATTCACTTAGTCTAAAACCTTCATTTATAAATGGAGAAACTCTATCAGCCCTATGGTCTAATGTCTTACCCAGGACGCCCACAGACCAAAAATAATTGGAAAAAAGACAACTTTTCTACATGTAAATTCACTGCTCTTTGAACTATAAAACTTGCTGCCTCTTCCTTATCTTTAATATTAGCATTAAACTGAGGTACATAATACTACAAACAAAAGACATATTTACCTGGAGATGAGAATGGAGAGCTAGTCCTGGCATAAGACACTGAGGTATTATGGTCATTTTTCGGCTGCAACTTCATTTGTTTTTGTTTCCCTTTTGGACTAAAGTAAAAAAATATAAAAATGAATATTTCTTTTTCTGTTAGCAACATATCTTTATAGGCAGTATGATGCAAAAAACTTAACTGGCCAAAGAAGAAATGCCATTATTTTAGTGAGGTGCCTCAAATAAATACTAGAAAAAAAGTCTTTGAAATAGTCAAATGCACATAAACAAAATTTTCAGAGTTAGCATCTCAAGCTTCACATAGATGCAAAAATTTAAAAAGATCTTTGAGTGGGTCTTGGGATGTCTTAAACGATTCATTAACATCAAAGATGAGATAGAATATACAAAATGCTTTGAATACATGAATTGCTACATCAATATAACATACCTAGGAGCTCTGCTACTAGATAATGAACTGCTGCTGCTTCTTAGTCGTTTTCTGTACCTTGGCCTTTTTCTCTTCTGACTCTGGATTGCTGATTTATATTCAGACATGATATTTTTAATATGACTTTCAAATAAGGCAGATAATCGTAGCGTCATGCTATAAATCTGAAAAAGTGAAAATTGTTGTCTTGTTTTACAAACAATTTTAATTATATAAAAGGTAGAAACACATGCCTGTACCAAGATTCCTTCAGAAAAGATATAGGAAATAGTTTATATACTTGCAATTTTTCCTGAAGAATTTTAAAGGTATTATTTTTATCTAAAAATTAACAAATATTTTAAAGATAAGGACCAATGTTGGGATAGGTTAGAGAAAAATTCTTAGACATATCCATTTTAACTGGACAATATTCTAAAAGGAAATTCACCTTATGTACTAAAAACCTAAAAAAATATCCATCCTTTGTCTAATATTTCATTCCTGGGAACTTATCCTAAGGAAATATCCCATTTCCTAAGGAACATAAAATAATTATGTTCAAGAATACCAACAGATTTTAGACACAAAATTTTTAATGCAGAATGAAAAACTAGAAATAGCCTGTAGCTCTCAATATCTGAACACTGGTGAGATAGCAGAACTACTACACAGAATAACATGGATATGTTAAAAATTCTGTTTTCAAACAGCAATAAGAAAATGTTCATAGTGTTCAAAAAGATTAATATAAAACCCACTGTTCTAAAGAATATATGAACATGTAAATATAATAACTAAATGTTAAAAATGACTGCAGAAATCAATAAAAATTTCATGATATGGGCCCTCCCTAGTGGCGCAGCGGGTTAAAGTACTGCATTGAGAAGCTAAAGCCACTTCCACATGAGTTCGATTCCCGCCTGCCCCGGAGGTGACCACATGGCGTGGCAGACCTCTCCTGACCCGCCCGCTGCTCCCTTCAGCAGTGTACTTCATAGATCTGCTTGTTCTGCTCCCCTCTCTGTCTCTGGTGAAGCCTCTCACCGCCCCTGAGCCTCTGGCCTGTACCCCAGTTCTGTATGTACAAATAAATAAATCTTTAAAAAAAAATTCATGATATGTAAGTAATTCTATTTTTGCAAATGATTTAAAAGTTAATCAGATGCCAGTAATTACAAAAGACAAAAATTATCGTTACTATATTTTGTTCTCATGATATTTAAGTTCTGACAAAACATAGGGAGAATATTAAACATGACTATGCATACATTGTTATAATAGCCCAATAGAATTTACTATTTGTTATAATAAAGGGGACACAAATATCCAGAGCTAATCCAAATATTTCACACATATTTATGTAATGTCAAATACTGCTACTTTTCAAATTATTAAAGGGTTACTCAAACGACTACCTCTCCTTTCCTTGACCTGCCCAGTAGATATATTACAAAGAGTAAAGAGGCAGGTAGGAGAAAGTTGTAATATATATACACATATACACACATAAAACACACATATAGGATGTATGTAATACACATATGTAATTAAATGCTTAAGTAACTAATAGTGCTTTCTCATACCCTTGATTTTTTATTAGAGGTATAAGCTTTGGAGTTGCTGAATATTTGGCGGACATCCTTATAAAATTCCAGAGGACTACCATAGTTTCCTGCTTCCAAAGTTTCTTTCACAGTGCTAAAGTCCATAGGAGTGTCTATAACATCTTGATAATCCTACAAAGAAGAATGAGCCATTAAATACAATGGGGCTGAGATTTGCAGTACCAGTCTACCATGAAAAAACAAAAATACTACTTTTCATTCTGTCAAAGACCTCTCCCAAACTCCATACCATTCATTCATTATATGGAGCTCTTTAGGTGTATTAGAAAACAAGGGTCTGTGGCAAGACCTTAGCACTCCACATGCAAATGATAATCACAATAATCTTATGGGACAAAATAGAAAATCTACAGCTACCAACTTCAACCCTACAGACTCCATAATACAGAATTCCATTTGTTGCTTAAAGACTGAAATAATCCCCAAATTCCAACAAAGTACTTAACAAAAAAATAGATTTATAGTTTTCATATACATATAATTCACACATATATGTAATATTCACATATAACTAAACAGTCCGTTGGTCACAACTTAGCTCCATATTTCTAAGATATTCCCAGCTATGAAGGGATTCCACCTAAGATTCATTAGCTAAGAGTCAAAATAAAATTACACTTTTTGTTTTATAATGTAACGCTTTCTTCATCTAAGATCATTCCTTTCATAGAGTCAGAACTAGTTCGATTTCATTAGAGAAGGGAGATGATTCTATTTTTTTGGGGGGGTGGGAGTCTATAATAACTATTTTGTAACAGAGAAACCATGTTACAGTAAGTCTACACGATTAGAGCAGATGGTGGTTATCTTTCCAAACCAGCTGGTACCACACACAGGTTAAAACCACAGGCAAGAGCATCCTCTTTCCTGGTCTTCCCTTGCATTTCCTGACTCAGGAGGATGATAAGTGACTGTACAATAAAATAAAGGTGTTAGGTACAACTGGGCAGATGCAACAAGATGATTCTATTTCAACCTAAAATATTTTAAGTACAGTTAAGATAGTTCTAGGATTATTCTATAGAATTTTCATGGAAATTAAACCTATACCATACCATAACCTTCAATAAGTATATTTCAAAGTAAAACCATAGAATTATATACCTCATCCTATTTAAAAACACAAAGAAATGAAAAATCAATTATCCCTTTTCTCTCAATGGAAAAGCCAAAGAACCAGAGGAAAGGGCAGAAGAAAGTTATAAAACATAGTTTTGAAATATGAGAATGCATGATTACTTTGGCTTAAATCATAAAAACTAAAACTATATTCCAACACAGTGTGGCTTGTGGAATGTTTTTATAGAGAAAGACTGTTGTAACTGTATAATATGATAACTGAAATTAAAAAGATGCAGTCAGCCTGTATAAAGGTTCTAGTATGAATACTCAGCTGCAATAAAGACACAAAAAATTGTTGCTTTTTACTCTCTACAGTGGCTTGGGATCTGTAGAGGCAAACAGACATCTATGTGGACACTAGCTGACTTGTTAACTTAAAATATAAACTATAAACAACAACTCAAAAAGGTAAAAATAGAGTAAAAGATGGAAATCAGCTTATAAATTATAAAAAGTTTATTTATGGAGATTTTATAATGCAAAATAACATGAAAACAACCAGTATGTGTCTTTTAAGAGACAATTGGGCCTACCTCAGAAAGAGATGGATCTTGTTGTCTTTCTGGAATAACTGACTCTGAGGATTCTCCCTCTTGTTCTTGATGGTTCTATTAAGGTGAAAAATATACACTATGTTTCTAGACCACCAGAATAAAATATTAAGACTTACAATGCAATTATGATTTAAGGAACAAATCTCCATTAATAGAAATTACATTTTTACTGCCTATACTTGAGGATCACTAGATTCTACATTCAACATTCTCCTTGGTTAAGAAAACACAAACTAATTTATTGCATCCAAACAACCTACCAGCAAAGCAGCTTTGCTGACAACAATTTATTCTTTATTTGCATACTTTCCCTCCTACTGAAATCTACAGAGAACAATGATGATACTTATTTCATCAAAAGATGGTGTGACATATTTTTGAATTATGTACACTATATCTCAGAAAAGTTAAAATAGGCTTGTTATCCATACTAAAATGTTATTCAACATTTACGTAGATATACTCCTAGAAAAAGAATCCTGTAACTTAAATTTTTATACTTTTATCTTTGGTGAAAATAAAAGCAATAATGGAAACTCCACATACAGTAGGGTCAGATAGAGGGGCCTAGATCATCCTCTCCTCTAATCATTACTAAAGGGAAAATAAAACTTGCTCAGAGGAAGCTTTGTAGGTTCTACGATAGCAATGAAGGTCTTTCCCATGAAGGTTTAGCACAGTGGTCGTTGGCTTGCTGTGAGGATGGAGAGAAAAGAAGGAAACATGGTTCCAGCCAGGACAGTAACTATTCTGGCCTCCACAGGCCAAATTGACTGGAGGCCTGCCACAATGGTCCTATCAGGCATGGTGAATCTACCCAACCAAACATTTCAGAGAGGGAGGAGGTGGATGATAGGCATGCACATACACAAGAATACAGGCTAGGTCCTTGAGAGTTTGGCAGTCAGCTGCACAGATAAGGGAGGGTCCTTATCAGCTCCCAGAGGAAAGACAGGGTAGAGGGAACCTCCACCTTTCTTGAAGCTGCTCTAGGTACTGTCTTAGAACAGTCTGGCATAAGGGAATCTAGTAATGAATGGTACAGGCAGGAGATACTCCTCCCTACTCCCTGCAGAAAGATCCAAGTAAGAGGTACTCAGCAACCTACACATTAGGGCTCTTGCTGGGCAGCAGGCATTGCCCAAGCACCAGGACCCTACAGCCAGCACCTGGAGCCACCTACCCAGGAGTGCAAGGCAGCCTATGTCCAGATGCTTAATGCCTGGCAGTCATACCAATGACTCAAGCTTAATGAAATATGCCCCACATTACCGAAGAGAGTAAGAAAGTGGTGGGCAAGAATTTAGGAAACCTAAAGGGAGCATGCTTTAGAGAAAGAGGAGGCAGAGTTGATCTATCTGACTGGAATAGCCTTCGTATCTCACCAGGACTGAAAACACACATTGGAGTATCAGCTCTCCATGCTGCCTTCAAATGCCAAGGTAAACAAAGAAGAGAGGGAGGCAATCAATCAATCAATCAATCAATCAATCAATCAATAAACCATAGAGCAACAACTGCAAAAATGTAAATAAGGCAATACATGTGCCTAGGAAGCAAGAAATAGCTGAAAGCTATATGAAAAATTTTAAGAATTGCAGACCAAGAAGGAAAGAGAACACAGGAATAGAGGACCAAATAGACAAAGATATTAGAACAACAACTTAAAAGTGCTAAATGAGGTACTGGAGGGACAATCAAACACAGAAAGGCAAGTGCAGATTTTACAATCGGGATCCAGGAACAAAAAGTTATTCAATAAAGAGACTGAAGACATTGAAAGAACACAAAACAGACACTGAAGAAAATGAGGATAAATACGGAAGTATATTAAATAGATTTAAGCTGGTAGAAGCGAGAGATATGGTAATGGAAGATACAAATGTAAAAATAATGCAAACGGAAGAAGAGAGAGTAATAAGACGGGAACAAATGAAGAAAATCAAAGTTTCAGACTCAATTAGAAGAGTAAACATAACAATATTATATAGTCAAGAAAGAAAAGAGAAAGGGGAACAGTGGCATTACTCAAAGAAATAACAACAGCTTCCTGAAACTAAGAGATAAACAGAGATGTTCAGGAAGCAGAATAATATCTAAAAGTCTAAACGCAAAATGATCTCATCAAGACACATAATTGTTCAAGTCAAAAATTGTCATCAAGTCAACGATAAAGACAAAATAATAAAGGCTGTTAGAGAAAATAAAGAATGTATCATAAGCAAGCACATTGGGGTAAGGTTCTCTCCATTTTTCAGCAGTTACTCTCCAGGCTAGATGATAGGGGAATGATGTGTTCACAAACTTAAAAAGCAAAACCTGCCAGCCAAGAATATTCTATCCTGCAATATGAACATTCAAGTATGAAGGTGTACTTAAAGCATTTCCAAACAAAAGATAATGGAATTTATCAACACTAAATCTGCCCTACAAGAAATATTGAAATGAGTTTTTATGAGAAAAGCAAAATGAAACAGATCATTGATCAACATGGCAAAAGAAAACACATAATCAGAAATATAAACAAGGATAGCATTACAACACAAAAGGACCGAGGAAGAAAGGCTGTGAAATTGTATACATGATAACAATTTGATATCAACTCAAATAATTTTCTCAAACAAAGCTCGATAGAACTCTCATTGAAACCACAAAGCAACAATCTAGAAAAGAGAAACAGAAGAAATGCAGAAGCAGAAGGAACACCCCAAAAGCCATCCGATTGGAGAATCAAAGATAAACACATGAAAAACAACAACAACAACAAAAGATTAAACAACCAAAATAGTCCAAATTCATGAATTTAAAAGGCATAAAATGACAAATTAGGTAAAAATATAAAAGCCAGTTATAATTTGCAAACAAGTCACTCATTAAAAACCTACAGACACACCAACTTAGAATGAAAGGCTGGAGTCAGGTATCTCAAGCCAGTAACACAAAGAAAAATGCAAGAACTGCTATTACACAGCTAATAAATTAAGACTGTCAGTTAAAAGGGTAATAAAGGAGGAACTGAAGAATAAAATTGACTCCCTAAAGAAGGAAATGAAAGAAACAAACGGGAATCAAAAGATCAATGAAAGAGCTAAAGAACTTTGGGAAAAGCAATGAAAATAGAATACATGAAATGGAAGTATGGATCAGTACTCTTGAAGAAAAAGAAGCAAAAATAACCAAAAGAGAAAAGGAAAGAGAAGCAACAATGAAAAGGAATGAGGACACACTTAAGACAAATATAAGACATGAAGAGAGAAAATGTAAAAGTCATAGGCATTCTGGGGCAGGGCAGAGGGGAGACAGAAAAAGAAAATGAGAAATTATTCAAGGAAATAGTGGAAGAAAATTTCCCAAGCATGAAAAAGGGGATGAATATAGACATACAAAGAGCAAGAACACCAAATTTCCACAATGAAATGAAAACTTTACAGTAAGACACATAATAGTAAAGCTTGAAAGAATCCAAGACAAGGAAAAAAATAATGAAACTGACAAGGGATAAGAACTAACTTATAATGGAAAACCAATTATGCTGACATCAGATCCCTCCAAAAAAAACACTATGAACAAGAAGAGAATAGAGTGCCATAATTTAACAAGCTTCAGACAGCAAATGCCAACCAAGAATACTTTACCCTGCAAAGCCCTCCTTCCTCTATAAAGAAAAAATAAGGACTTTCTCAGACAAACTCACTCCAGAAATAAATAATGACTACACCACCATTCCAAAAAATTCTACAAGGTGTCCTAAAGCCAAAACCAATAGTGGAATGAGTAAGCAGAACAGAATACAGTAAGCAATAAAATCATAAAAAAAAAAAAACAGACAAAATGGCAAAATACAGATGCTAATATATCAATATTAACTCTAAATGTAAATGATCTAAACTTGTCAACAAAAAGACAAAGAGTTGCTGGCTGGATTAAAAACCAAAATTCAACTATCTGCTGTCCCCAGGAAATACATTTAACCACAAAAGATAACTACAGACTGAAAACAAAAGGTTAGAAAACAATCCTACAAGTAAATAGACCAAAAATAGAAGGCAGGAGCAGCTATACTTATATTAGACAAAATAGACTTCAAATTAAAAAAGTAAAAAGACACACAGATGGACAATACATCATGATTAAGGGGACAATGCACCAGGAAGATATAATACTCATCAACATATACTCACCTAATGAAAGAGCACCAAAATATATTAGACAATTACTATCAGCTCTAAAAACAGACATTTAAGAAAATACATAGATAGTAGGTGACTTTAAAACGCCACCCTCACCAATGGACAGATCAACAAAACAAAAATAAACAAAGACACTACAGCCCTAAATAAAGAATTTAAGACATCTATAGGTTACTCCATCCAAAACAATCCTAGTACACTTTTTTCTCAAGTGCACTCGGATCATTCTCCAGAGTCGATCAGATACTGGGCCACAGGACAAGCATCAATAGATACACTAAGATCAAAATCATTCCAACTATCTTTTCTGACCATAAAAGCATCAAACTAGAAATAAATCATGAAAAGAAAACAAGGAATTCTCCTACTTCATGGACTTTGCATTCTTCTGGAAGACTAATGAGGAGATCAAAGTAGAAATTACAAACTTCTTTGAGCTGAATGACAATGAGGACACCAATTACAGAATATATGGGATGCAGCAAAAGCAATAATAAGAGGAAAATATATAGCAATACAAGCCCACATCAAGAAACAAGAAAGAACTCAAAGAAACAACCTAATCTCACACCTCACATAAGTAGAAAAAGAACCAAAAAAAAAAAAAAAAACCTAAAAGCAGAAGAAATGAAATAATAAACAAAATAGAAATTAAAAACATAATCCAGGCCCTCCCTGGTGGCACAGTGGGCTAAAGCACAGCACTGAGAAGCTAAAGCCACTTCCGTGTAACAAAGAAAATATGGTAGAAAACACATATAAACAAAAGAGGAGGAATCGCAACAGACTTTATTGGAATCAGAAGAACAATCAGAGATTACTAATAAGACCGATATGCAAACAAATTCAACAAACGAGAAGAGATGGACAAATTCCTGGAACAATATAATCACCCAAGGCTAGATAAAGAAGCAATAAAACTCCTAAACAGACCAATTACGAGCAGTAAAATTGAAGCAGTGGCCCTCCCTGGTGGCGCAGCAGGTTAAAGCACAGCACTAAGACACTGAAGCCACTTCC